TATAGTGTAAGTATAGGGATGAGCTCTCTGTAAAACATGTTTTCAGCAAATAAGTGCTTTAACTCGGGTTTATTGTCCACTACAGAATGTTTCTCCGAGCTGTGTGCTGCCCTGCATCAATATCACTTTATAAGAGATAAAAACCACTACAGTGAATTTGTTTCAAACTTTGGATGGAATAGGAGGCCTCAGAGCACATGCGAGACCTTTCAAATAGTGTTCTAAATAGTGTTATTCTCATTTGGCAACCAATACGGCCAGACAGGTACTACTGCCATGTGTGCATTTCAGTTAACAAGTCATTACATAAAACATTGATTACGGGTTACAGAAATTATACGGTAATTCCAAGTGAGTTTCCAGTCCTAAAACATCACATAATTAATCAAAAGTGATGTACTGACCCTCTCACAGCGATTTCCAATCAACGGTGGTCCCAGAAACAACAATATTCACCCACTTTCGTGATGAGTGGTTGAGCTTCTTCTCACCCACACCCAGCTCTTTATGGCAGAGGGATTGGCTCAAATATCTGCATTAAGCATATATCCTCTGATTGGAATCACTCCCTCCCCAATACAAGCTCAAAAAGACAGTTAATTCAGTTCAACATGATGTAACACTGTAAGCCTAAAATTTACCATTTTTACCCAATGTATAGGCTAAATGTTATATACTGAGCCGGATAGACCAAGGACTGAAGGATAAAGGCTGGAAGACCAGAGGCTCAGGTAAGCTGGAGGGTCGGAGGGCCGGAAGGTCCAGAAGGTATATGGAGGGATCACAACACCACAGGGGGTCAAGGGTGAGTGACTACCCTGGCCGGCAGGTAATCCGATAGAGGAATGCAAGCCAGAGTACCAGAGGGAACCGGAAGGGATGGAGGCGACTCAGTGCAAGGAGACGAGCCAAGCAACATTAATTATCAATCTGACGTACATGACATATTAAAGACATATTTATACTATGTAGCTAATTGTATTCCATAATAGAAAGGAGGGTGGCTCTTAACAATAAGACAAGTCAGGAGGACTGATGTTAAGTCGTAGGACAATAAGAGAGAAGATGAGAAGACGGATAAACGGGAAACACTCAGTAATCCTTCATTGTGTGTAAAAATCCAATGATTCTGGATGGCTTGGAGGCTCTGGTATATGACTGGAGCCTCAGAGCCTACCGGAAGTACTGGAAGGTCAACAAGAGGGCTATATAACACTAAATAAATTCATGTTTGCCCACAGAAGACCAGATATGTCCAGTCTACATTTGGTATACCCATAATGAATGGGATATTCCTGGCAATTAAGGTGAACAGTTTCTTGAGGAGAGCAAACCTGTTATATCCGTGCACATTCTGACCCTTTCTACACAGCTCCGGTTTTCCGGAGCTTCCCGGAAGTTCCCATCACTTCCGGTCATGCCTTATTCCAAATGATTACTAAGCCCATCATAGCCACTCCTTCCTTACGACTCTCCGGCTTCCAGGACCATTGGTCATTTCCGCCTAGCCATTCCGCTCATTTCCACTCTCCGCATTCTCAGGCATATCCGCCATTCTATTCCCTTCCATTTCCGGAACCTCCGGCACAGCCACCTGCTCCGGTTCGATCATCCTTTCTGCGGAACCTTACCATCTCCATCACCGTGCTCTACAATCCGTTCCGTTCCGCCCAACCGGCTTGTCTTCTTCCGAGGACTCTCCAGGGATGTTCCCACGCTTCCGGTCGTTCGTATGCTTGCAGGCCTTGCTATGATTTGTTCCCACGCCTCCGGAGCCTCCGGCCCTCCGGCCCTTTTCCGCAGTGGATCAGTTGGCCATCCATTCGAATGCTTCCATCCCCTCAGCTCGTTTCCATGGCTGCGCCTCCGGTTCCGCTCCGAACCGATCGGACCCTCCGGCCCTCCGAACAGCCCTCCGGAAGTTTCCCACGGTTGTCCATGTGTCCGCTGCCAAGCGGGTTTGCATCATATCATATTACTACGTCTTTCCTTTTATCCGTCTTCTTCTTTATTGTGTCTTATAAATCTTTCCCATGCATTTCCTTTTTGGGACACTACTTATTGTTACGTTCCCAAGTCTCCTGACTTATCCATTTACAGTATTACAATAAAGGACTTATCTATATAATCCCAGTAGATTACATTCTGTACTCTATCTGGAAAATTAACGTTATTCCATGGCTTCCTTCATGGACTGAGTCTTCCTTCAAATCTTGTCTTCATTCCGGAGTCTTCCCGACACCTCCGGATCTTGTTTGTCTTTGTTATTCTTCCCTCCGGTCATTTGCATTCTCAGCCAAATCCCTTTCACTTCGTCCGGAGCCTCTTCGGTTCCCTTCCTGGCATCCTCCGAGTCTCCCGCACTGTCACAGATCAATCCTGGTTCCCACGCCCTCCTTCCGGAACGCTTCCGGTCACACGGGTCCCATCCGGGATGTGTATCGCTTCCACAAAGTCTGTTACGTTTGCGTTGGGCTCCAACGGAGTTTGTTCGCTTCTACTACCTTCCTCCGGATCACTCTGCACCCCTTCCGGTACCTGTCCGGGTCCATCGGGGGTCACGTGGTTACCTCCGGAATCTTCTATCCTCATTCGTTCTCCATCTTGTTTCGGCTCGATAGTCAGACAGTTCGCTCACCCTTCCGAGCTGTGGTGTTGCGAGAACAGCCGACAGGAGAACCTCCGGTCTTCTTCCTGACGCTCCGGACTTGCGTCCACGTCCGGAGATCCCGGAGGTCTCTCTTTACTCTTTTGGCTCGGCATATAACAAAACCGTGGGAACACCCTGCTGATTCCTGCCAACAATGATCAGCAATGCCACCGGTACCCTCAGAGCTGGTTTTCCAATCACCAGAGGGTAAACACATATATTCCGGTGGTTACCTCGGCTATGCTACGTGGGGTAACCAGCGATGTAACCAGTGCAGGCTGGTTACCCTATGTATACTCTATGTGACGCCACATTGTCAGCCACGAATGCCCGCACTTTGACTTTGCGCCTGGGAATAACATTGTTCCCATTCCTGTGCCTGCGCCAGCTACCCGGTGACACAATAAGCCAACAACCACACCAGCAAAAGTGAATATTCAGCTTGAATTATGCTGCCTAATTGTCACCTGAAAACACTATTTTCGCAACATGTTCAGCCAGTGGCATTTTTGCCATTGGCTCGGAAAATGCTGAGCCAATGGCAAAAATGCCGACAGCTGAATAGGTTGCTGAAAAGGATCTTTTCAGTTGACAATCAGCTGAGCTGAATATTCGATTTTGCCGGTGTGAATGGCTCCAGTGTGCAGGACCCTGGTCAATAGGTGAGAAACCAAGACCCCAAACCTGATGAATTTGGGGCATTTTGCCTGCTGATGAAAATGGGCAAAATTGGGTTTTTGCCTGTTCCAAAACCTGATGAAAATGTGCCAAAGCTGATTTTTTAAAAAGAAATGTCTGCTTGGTGGTATAGATAAACAAAAATTTGACCCAGATGCAAAATCCTGACATTTTTGGCCCAATTTCAGAACGTAACCTGGTGCCAAACCTGATGAAAATGCTCAAAAAGTCCTCAGAGAAACCTGATTTTTTTCTAGTTTTGAATAGTGATTGTCACGGGCCTCCCGCGTTGACCCGTACCCATGCCCGCAAAAACCCGTACCCACGCTGATGGGTACAGGTCGGGTCACGGGTTGGCGGGTAACCCACGACCAGTGCGGCCCGCCACAGACCCGTGTGTTTTTCTCATGTTGTGTATCATATATCTGAACAGATTATCTACCACTCATAAAGAAACATGTATGCCTATTGCTCTGAACGAAAAAAAGCGCCAGTATTGACTTTATTAATCCTGATCCTCCCCATCATCCCCCTCCTCCAGCGGCGCGATTACCTTGAAGTTTTCGTCCTTAACAAATCCCTGGTGGCTCCAGTACCCCAAATACATCAACTGATTCAACTCTCGCATGGTCCGAGCTGAAAGGTGATTAAGGACATGCAAAACAAGGAGGCAGCCGTGGCTAAATTGACGTTCAACATAAATAGAGGTTGTTACATTAGAATGGTTAGCCGCGAGACCTTCGAGGGAGCGGTGATGGCAATCACAAGGCGATCGTGAGCTGTTTGTTGCCTTTTTTCAACATTTATTTTTCAGCGTTTATTTTTCAGCTAACAGTCTAAATTAGTGTACTATGTACAACCACGGGTCCCATACGGGTACCTACGGGTCCAGTAAAAATTCTCAAGTGGACCCGCACCCGTACCCGGGGCCCGCCATGGGTGGCCCGGCCCGTGACGAACACTAGTTTTGAAATCTGAGTTCCTCCTCACACCTATTAGCTGGGGTCCTCAGTGTGCCCGGAGGGCAGTCACCTGCAAGACAATTCTGACATTACATAATTGAGATGGCTCTCCATACCTCAGGCTGACATGGACACATCTCTTGCTACTTAAATCAGCCATGCTATGACTATGCACAAATCCATAATTCCTGGTACCCACTTTATAGGAACCAGGTCTCAGACATGAATGGTCATACTGACCCAATCATGTCGGAATTTGGTCTGAGCTCCCGCAAAATAAATAAATAATAAAATTCGATTCAATGAGGTGTAATGAATCAGTGTCGCCACCCTTGAGTGATTTGAGCTTCCATCTTCAGGTCCTACTGGCTTGCTCAACCTGACTCGTTCCACTCAAAACTTTTACTTGTCTTCCAATCCCTGGCCTCAATTTTGATGAGGGCCACTGTTGTCAAAGTGGAAGACAACAGTGAAGAAAATCAGCATCATTCACCGTGTCTCTCACACCATTCTAAACCCCCTTCTTGCCCTCTGACAGTGATGGTATGTTCCATTTCTCCTCACTTGTGTGCTCCTGCTCATTGTCTGCAAGACAGTGATTACCTTTGCAAGTTCTGTTATACATTGTGAGCGGGGCACTTGTTCGGATGCCTCCGCTTCACTTCTAGTTATGGAAGTCCAGTTACCATAACTGGCCATAATTGTGCTGACTCAGCTTAGCTCAGTTGGTTAAAGCAACTCTGTACAAATGGGAAGGTCCTAGGTTCAACTCCTAGAGCCATCATTCCTTTTCTCCATTATCTTTGACATAATCAATCTTACATCTGGTGACCACCGCAGGGGTAGCCAAACAAGGCCTCGGCCTGACAAACGACCTGCCTAATAAGCAAGTGACTACCCCAAACAAATAAAGATTGATTTGTGTTGAAGGTGACAGGGACGTCACCTGTGAAGCGACCTGGCTTTGGTGAGTGGGGGCTTCTCACTTGATGCGAAGATGGGGCTGGGGAGTGAGTATCGGGCACTCCCCAGGCTCCTGTAACCCAGGAGCGAGGGACCGTGTAACCCATGGTTTGGGACCGGATGACCCTTGGCGAAGCTCTTGTGACGTGGAGAGGTGAGCAGATATGGATGCTCGGGTAGTTCTAATAGTCGCATGAACACTCTGGCTCTTGTCGGGCTTCAGCTTGTCATGGTATGCGGTAAAATAGATCTGATTACAAATATCTAGTGGCTGTGTGTTCCGTGGAATCCTGACTAAGCTACCTAATGTGTACGAGCCCTTTGGGTATGCTACAAGTGAGTACTACCGTATCAGATCACCATTTCTAAAAATGGAAATGAGATGTGAGTGTTCGGATGCCCCCGCTTCACTTCTAGTTATGGAAGTCCAGTTACCATAACTGGCCATAATTGTGCCGACCAGGAATGGCAGCTTAGCTCAGTTGGTTAGAGTAACTCTGTACAAATAGGAAGGTCCTGGGTTTAACTCCCAGATCTGTCATTCCTTTTCTCCATTATCTTTGACATAATCAATCTTATAACATTCACTGCAATTACGTCCAACATGTCTGTTCTTAGATTGCATCCCTGGTGGTTCAGATCTAAACTTCAGCCCACCTGGGTTTCCTCCCAGCTTCCACCAACTGTTAACCGTGGTCCATGTATATTGATTTTCCATTCCTTGGCTGAACAACTTGCAGTTCCATCATCATACGGAGGCTCCGCTGTACTTCAGACTTCATCCCCGACTCCACGCTATTTGACTCTAATCCCGTTCAAACAACTTTCCATGAGGTATCCACTTCATTATTTGGCATAGCTAAATTCACTTTCTCAGTCAATGTTTGTACTTCGGTCTCCAATGCAACGTCTGGTATGAGATCAATTTTCATTGTAAATTCATACTCTCAACAGATTTCATAAGGGCCCAGTGCTAAGTCTACATTTTTATACAAGGCTGAAAGTGGGAGTGGCAAGTGCTACTCTGAAGTCGGAAGTCTGATTGATCTCGGCATTGTCGGCCAGACATTGACGGGTTTATTCCCATGCCTTGTAAAATATTACCTTGTGTGTCCTGTTGAGCCGAGGGAACCATCTCCCACTGTAACAGATGGTACCAAATATTCTGCCAAGGCATTTATCTGGCCACATCCAAGCAACGTAATTATAATTGAACTCCTTCATACATGCCAATACAAATGTTGAGAAAAATAATCTGCTTGGGGGGTCTGGTTAGATCACAGCAATGGAGATTTTGCTAAAAGAGTTCCGGTGTAAGCCCCTGCTGTGGATGTATGGCTCATGGGAATAACCCCTTGTCCACATCTACAGCTTGATTTGGACATTATATGCAAGCCATTTAAGGTATTTGAGGACCCGAATCCCTTCAAATATCTTTGAATACCTTTGAATGAGCCAGTATTTTTCACTTGTATGGCACCATATCCCTGGTGAAATCCAGAAGTTAAATATGACTCTGCAAGAGACCATAGTTAAAAAACACTCAGATTAAGACATTGAGCAGCTAAATTGTTTACCAATTAGAGGAAAAGCAGCAGGAAGTCGAGCTCATCTTACTAATTGTGCATTGCAGACTGTTCTTAACTCTACGGGACAATGGATGCCCTTATGCAGGCCAAACAGTAGGATAGGGGCAAAACTTCCCATTTGGGCAGTCGGGACAACCCGGGCTGAGATCAACCCATGATCAAAACTTTGAAGTTGGGACTTCGTCCTACCTCGAAACCATGGACTACAAAGTACTAATAAACAGCGAAAAATAATGCCATAGTCTGGGTTGTCTGCAGGTCCAGTTTTGAGTTCATCCAGCAAACCTGGTGAGTTCATTCTATGTTGCATGCACCTACACATATGTACTCAAGATTTGTGTCATGAAGCTGCATTTGGGCTGGCACCTAGAGCATACAATGCTCAACATTCAATGTAGATTCTGTACTTGACTGTCCCATTAATCTGTGTCCAAGATTGGTATTATTCAAGATTTCCTTTGACATATCTGTGGACCATCTAAACAAGGGCTACAAATATATTGGGTTAAATCCTGCAGATATGGCAAGACACTGCACAGCAGATTGAGGTTAAATGCAGATTCATAATGTTGTCAAGCAATACCAGTACTTTTTAGAGACTGCTTTGCAAGATCTTGCTGCCCTCCATGGATAAGGCTTCCCCCACACAAAAAAATGTGACCTAAACTTATCTCTCAAATCACCAGTGCAGCAGCCAATGTAGAGCAAATATCATTTGTGGACTGCTATTGACTCGGCCACAATTGTTACATTGCTCCAATCATCCTCAAAGTCTACCTTCATAATAAGTCAACTGAACCTTTTGACAGAGTAATCAGCAGTCATGCTCTCAACCAATTATTTTCCTTTGACAAGTGAGGAAGCACCCTCAAAATGGCATATGTCACATCTCTCAAAACTTTTTTTTTTTTTTCTTTTTTTTTTTTTTTTTTTTTTTTGGGATGTCTATAGTACGGGTGCAAAGTCTGCAGAAGCATTCCCTGATTTACCATCATGCACAGTGAGAAAGACAGCGAAGGAGGTTCAGGCTGAATGAGGCAGATTGAGGAGTCTATCAGGTCCTCAATCTGCCTCGATATTCTTGACATGCCTCATTGTACCTCAATGTAAAATGACCCAGATTGAGCGGCATTGAGGAGCATGTAGATTTTATTGATTTACATTGGGGCAAATTGAGAGAATTGAAACCCAGGTATATTTAGCACTTCTACTACAGGTACACAGGTATATACAACTACAACACCCCATCTGCACACTGCACACTGCCTGCCCTTTGCGAAAGCGCCCTTGTCTTGTGGGTGTCATAAGGGTGAACTATGGCCGAATCCAAAGCCAAGGAGCTTGGTGTGTCCTGGGATGCGTCAGGGAATCCTAGGCAACTGAAAGATAAGCAAAGGAGAAGAGAGAATGGAAGAAATGGTGCTTACAATGATCCAGATGTGTAGAACACTCTCTGCACTGGATTCAACTGAGATTGAGACAAAATCAAACATTAATAGTATGGAAAGTTTGGCTCGTAAGTAGATGATGGTTAATCCCAGCTTGATTCCAGCTTTGCAAGATGTTCGCTCCCGCTCACCTCCACCTACAAAAAATCCGGTTTTTTTTTTTTTCTGATCCCTGTAAACACATTTTTTAGAAGGTTCTAAGCAAATTCCAAAAAGTGAATTAAGAGGGTCTGAAACCCTAAGAGTTACTCCGGGAGTGGATTTGGATCTGGATTTGGTGCCTCACGTGTACTGTCTGATCCGTCAGTTCCCGGGCGTTCTGCATGGTGTGGGTTTGAAACTGACATGGTCAGCTTTTTTGGACATTCACATATATGTATGAACAAACGGGTCAGAAATTGATTTCTTGGTCCCAAAGTATGAAATATGCTTGTGGGGTCTCCCAAAGTCACTCAATAGCACAGATGGGCAAGAGGAAGTGCTCACACAAAAAAAAAAAAAGTCACTTGGGTCGGGTTTGAACCCATGATGGCAGATCACACCATACACGTGAGGCATCAAATCCAAATCCAAATCCACTCCCGGAGTAACTCTAATTGAAGGTGGGTAGGGCTACTGGACTAGGGCTGCCGCCCGTTGCCGTCACGACGGTTCGACGGCACCCGTCGAACGGGTGCCGTGCCCGTCCCGTCAACCATTTTTTTGCTCAAGCAACGGCCCGTCAAACGACGGCCGTGACGGCCGTTTCAACGGGTCATATGAATCTACATTTAAACTGACACTTTCCGTCATTATTTAGTCCACAAAGACTTCCATCTTGGAAGGGATACACCCTCCTGCTCACCTTACATTCCTGCTGGCTCCAAACAGAGGGTATATTGCTTGTGTCGGATTCTCGGCAACTCCCGATCATGATTGCCGACGTGCAACCTCAAGGTTTGGGTCGGTTTCTCTAGCTGGAAGCACGAAAACATCAGAGTGGGCAGGTAGGAATTCAACTCATGACATTGCAGTCCTAATCTATATTTTATTAGGGTCCAAAGACAAGGTAAAGTTTTAAATTTCCACCCTACCCGTTGAGACGGCCGCGACGGCCGTCCCGTCGCCCGTCCCGTCCCGTCAAGGTTTCGGGAAGAAGAAAAACGGCCGTCGAATCGACGGCCGTTGCCGTCACGGCAACGGGTGGCAGCCCTATACTGGACAGCCATGTTCTAGACCGAGGTCTTTGATGGCTTTTTGAGGAACCTTCAAGACCTCATTTAGGAAATGTGGGGGGGGGGGGGGGGGGTTAGGGCTACCGGACAGCCACTGTTTAGACTTGTAGCCAGTCTGCCCTAAACACAGCAACACTAAGTGGTGGGCACTTTGCCATAGGCGCAAAGTACTTGCTACTCAGAATTGTGATGGCAGACTGGTAACAAGTCTAGCCACTGTTGTGCTTGTTTGCGTTTTGAGGTCCAGCATATTAGACCTGGTTCCTAAGTCGGTACAGGTACCAGGAATTCAAAGACTTAAGATCCAAGATGATAACAATGGCTGCTTACAGTGTGCCCACAGGGGAGCCTCTTGTGCAATTCAGACATTGATTCAAAGATCTCACATGATTTGAAAAACTCAACAACGACTACAGTGTGCCCAGAGGGCAGTCACCCCCTTGCATAGGGATTGATTCAACTGTTGATTCAAACATTTTAGATTATAACAACAACTATAGTTGACCCAGAGGGTACTCATTTTTTACAACTTGAAGGAAATAAGTATCATTGATTTGAAGACTTAAGAGT